GGTGTCTGATCCCAATGTTCCCCCCACATCTCCATCCTATCTCTTGAGCTGTCCTCAGAGAGCTGGAGAAACAGAGGCATTCAGGCAGCATCTCCTCCGGTCTCACCCCTGGATTCAGCTCCGTCTGGCAGCTTCTCCATGAGTCTGTCTCCGTGAGCTGGACTCCTAACGTCCACCTCTCCTCTGCCGCCTCTAATGCCTGCATCACCTCTTCCGAAGGGGGGCTGGAGGCTTCAATTAATCTTCTGGTGTCCAGCTGCATAGCCCCTTCTGTATCTTCTTTCCTCTTCACTGACTCTTTGCACTGCTCCATCTTTGGAATCAGTGCTGGGGCTCAGCACCCCTGACAGCCAACTTTTGGGGTGCTGAAGTTCGATTGAGATTCAGGTTGTCAGCATTCCAGCAAACCTCCATTCCAATCAGTAACTCCGAGACAAACATATCTCAAAAGTACCTTTATTAGAATATCACCTGGCACATCTGTCAAATCTCGAATCTAAAAGTTTTTGGGCTTCCCACATTTTCCCAAACTACAAATCCATCTCCCCTTGGCCATCATCACATGACCCGAAAGAATTTTATTTTGTCTATTTAGAGCTACTGAATTGAAATCACCCCCCTCCCACTTTCTCAGGCTATGTGGCAGTATGGAATATGGCTTCCAAAGCTGATAGTAATATTTTATATTGCACGAATGAGGCAACACTGGAGCACTGCATCCAATTCTGGTCACCACGATATAGAAAAGATTCTGGGGCAGAGCAGCACAGAAGAGCAGCAAAGATGATAAAGGGTATACAAGTTAAATCATACAGTGAATGGCTAAGACAACTAGGTGTGTTTAGCTTAATGAAAAAAAGGCTCAGGAGAGACATGATAGTAATCTTCCGGTGCTAGAAGTGCTCTCATAGGAAAGAGACCATCAGTCAAAGAGAGCAAAGAGAGCTAGTCACCATAGCACCTGAAGACAGGACAAAAACCAGTGGGTGCAACTCATCAAAGGGAGTCAGCCTTAAAATAAGGAGGAATTTCCTGACAGTGAGAACAATCAGTGAAACAGTTTGCCTCCTGGAGTTGAGGTGCTCTATCTTGGAGGTTTTCAAGAAAAGATTGGGCAACTATTTTTCTGGTATGGTATTAAACCAGCGGTCACCAACTGGTGGGACGTGAGAAAATTTTGGTGGGCCGCAGAGAAATCTCAGCCCCAGAGCACCCCCACAAAGCAATTAATCCAGGCTGCGCAGAAACACAAGGCTTCTCAGCCCACATGGCCCACAGGAACCCTTCCCACCCACTCCTTACCTGGTAAACTTGCCTGCTAAATTGCTATTTTTCCTTTTTCTGACCATCATCTGTTCTGCTGTGCCGGGAGATTTAGATTAGCTAGGAAGCAGGAAATGGTTTGATTTCTTGATTTCTAGCTAGTCTTTAGATCTTCGGCTCAGCACAGCTGAACCTCCCTTTAGACTGACTGAAGGTTTGCTTGCAAGCAAATTCAGTGCAGACTCATGGCAAGCAAATTTGAGAGACTGAGCTAGCCGATGGCAGATAGATAGATCATTGAATGATTCTGTGAGCAACTCAATCTGCCTGCTTTGCCTGATTTGGGGTAAAAGTTGCTCTTTTTTAAAATAAAAAATTCAATATTTATATGCATGGTATGTTGTGAATTAATTTTGTGAGTTTGCTTGCTAGCAAATTTTATGAGTGTGCTTGCAAGAAAATTTTATGTGACAGACCGAGCTAGCCAGTTGCAGATAGATAGATCTCTGAATGAATCTGTGATTCTGTGAGCAATTAAATCTGCCTGCTTTGCCTGATTTTGGGTAAAAGTTGCTCTTTTTTAATAAAAAATTCAATATTTATATAAATATTTATAATATTTACATACAAGCCATGCCCAGCCAGTCACATGACCACCAAGCCACACCCACAAATTAGGCCACGCTCACAGAACCGGTTAGTGGTCCCTGGGATCTAAAATTATGAGTTTGGTGGTCCCTGAGGTCCAAAAGGTTAGCGACCCCTGGTATAAACAACTCCTGTCTTGGGCAGGGGCTTGGACTAGAAGGCCTCCAATGACCCTTCCAGCCCTATGATTCTATGAATTGTTTGTTGGAAGAATTGCAGTTTATGGAACAGTAAAATATATCTATATATCTATATCTATTCAAATCAATTGCAATTCAAATAATATGGGGATAGTTTGAGATACCTTTAAATCAACTATGCTTCTGGATCAAAAATGTATTGAATCACAAAATAGAAAAGTTGAATTATATGACTTGGATACAGAATATGGTTTAAAACAAATGAAATGAACATATTGGAATGAGGAGGGAAACCTGGAGAATGTTAGTTTCTCATTTGAAACACAAAGTATATAAGAGTTTAGTAAGAGATTTTTCAGGGACATGTTACACCAGCTATGAGACTAATTTTCATCATTTTGAATTCTATAAAACTATATATTCTATACATGTCCTTACAGCTAGTCAGATAGATATTTATTCAGATATAATAAATCTTTCAGAAGTTTTAGATATAGAACCAGAAGAGCTGGCTATATGCTCAACATTACAGCATTTATATGACGCTGGTGACACAAAGAAATCTGGATGAGACATATAAAAAATTGAACAAGAAAGTAGCTCTTATACTTCTGAAGTTATTTCAGATAATTTATGAAAGTAAAGCTCTGCCAGCTTCCTATTATAAAGATTTTTATCAATAGAATGTTGAGGGCTGATAAGGATCTCACCTAGTGTCCAAGTTATTACCCAATTTCTCTGTTAAATATTGATGTTAAGATTTCAGAAGCTATATTGACAAGATGTTGACTGCAATAATTCTGGGAATAAGATGAGATTTATGAAAACCAAGCTAGAAAGTGTTTTGGGGGTGAAGTGTGGAAATGCAACACCAACAAAAACAGGATGTCTGGATCTATATGCCTTGCCTATCTTTAATTTCATAAAATAAGGTGTTCTTGCTAATGTCACTCTTCAAACCTTTGAACAATAATTGAACCTTCTGAGTGTGTTCTATAGATTTATAAGAGATATAATAAAATTACTAGAATGTATTTTATGTTAATTGTTGTTTTGTGTTGACATTGCAAACAGCTTGTTTAAACATGTCCATGTCTAAAAACCCCAAGACATTGAACAGTAGATGTCTAATTTCATAGTCTCTCTGCTAGTCTTAAATACACCTAAGGCCTCTTACCTTCATTGGGAAGTCAAAATGTGAGTTGTAATAATGCTTATGCAGCTGCATTCTGATTTCTGCCAATAATATTCCACCTGAGAATTCAGATCATTGTAATGAAATACAGTGAGCCCTTGATATACATCATTGGCTCAGTGAATGTTCAATAGTGCTTAACAAGAAGGACTTACAACCAGTCCTCACAATTCCATCTGATGCAGTGTCTTGTCAGTCAAGCAAAGCCAATGGGGAAACCAGATGATGTTCACCAATGGCAGCAATATGATGGTTTTGCTTATTAATAACCCTTGGGGATTCTCTTAACAATGAAAACTGGGATTACCAGAATTGCCATTGCTAAGGGTTGCAATCATGTGATCTAGCGTGTTATGACTGCGTTGCTGAGCGAAGGACATTCTGGTCTCAATTGCTGTCGTAAACCAAGAGCTACCTATATATACATTTGTTTTCGTTTTGTTATCATTGTTGGAATAACCACTTTGTAACAACTGTTGGAATATACTTTTTTTTGACAAGATTGCTTTTGTAGTCAAAGTTAAAAATAATTGATATGTTTTCACATTCATTTCATATTTCTTTTATAAAGCACTTAATCTTAGACCTTCTGTTACACCTGATTTTCAGATCAGATAGATTTTACATTTTTAATAGATTTCTGAGTGGCCATTAAATATTTTTGTAAATTCATCAATAATGCCTAGAACCTATTGCCAGTTATTCTTACTGGATATCCCAAAATCTAGTATGAATGTACTTCATCATATCTCTATTATTATGTGACCTAGTTGCCTAAAGAGTAAAAAGTACAATGTTTTAGGTGTTCCAAGTATAAGGATAGGACTTAAGGATGGTTGGGAAGAAAAAGGAAAAATGTATATCTCAATATGGTTAAATAATTACTTATTTTTTGTGATAGTTTGGATAGTATTTCTTTTGAAAATATCTAATGAAGTAATAGATTAGTTTTTGATATCTAAAAAACAGGTGATTCCTTTGTTATTTTTTTAATAGTTTTTAATTTCTTTTTTGTAATGTTAGACATTACAGAAATGTGAGGGATGAAGGAAATGTAGGCTAATGGAAAAAGAGGCTACATATGTTATTAAGTATTTTTGTTAATTTTTATTTTACTGGATCTGTGCTGATTGATAAGGAGAACAAAAGATTTAAAAATGAATTTATAGAAAATGGGGTGAGGTATGGAATGAAAAAAAAATCTTGTATTATAAGAGACAGCAATGAGTTGTTAATGAAGTTAACATTTGGACTTTGCAACAAACTAAGGAAAATATAATTCTGATTTTGGGGTTTCATTATTTGACTTATGTCTCTTAAGAGCTACCAGAAACAACAACATATATACTTTAATCTTGATAAAAAAAATCCATATTCTTTCAAGTTGATTTATCATTTTCTCTGTCTCCTTTCAGAAACTCCTTCACCAGTTTAACATGCATATTTTGTACATCTTATTTATTATTTGTATCTCACCTTTCATTATTAAGACTATAGCCAATTTCATTGGCCTTCATTCACGAGTTTCATTTGTATTTACAATATGGCATCTTTTTCCATATTACTTTTGTAATCAGTATTTTTAAATCCACATTCAAAATCAGTTACAGCCTTTTTTGTCCAGTAAAAGATGTTCTTTTCTGTAGCTGTAAAGGTATTTTTTTAATGGGTGAGAAAAGTTCCTTGGATTTAGTTGTCTGATTATACTTTGATATAGCAAACAAATAAGCAGTGGATTATTAAGCTTCCTAGCGCCTAGTTAAATTAGACTGCGCTCTATCTATGACTGTCTTAATGCTCAGTAATGTTTTGAACATTTCAGGAAAAATTAATTAAAATGGTCTTCCCCCTCAGAAATAGCCTTGGCATGTGGAATGTAAATTTACATTTAGCTACATTTCCTATGTTCTTTTCTAGTACTGGATGAATGAATACACTTCCTCCCTTGGAATTGGAGTATTTCACTCAGGAATTGAGATATATGGTAGAGGTATGTACCTATGTGCGTTATATTTTTTTACTAAAAGGATTAAAATGGAACTTTTTGTGTGCGTAGGAAGAGATTGACAGTTTTTAATTTTAAATTTATCACAATCTAGCTTTCCCAGTTGGATATGTTGAGTGAAATGCCAGAAGACTTGGGCCACCTGAGCATGGTGGGGCAGGGAGAGAACCCAGGTTCCCCACCATAGCCAAGAGATATGGGCCTTTTCTCCACCCCACCATGTCTGGGAGGCTTGGGCTCACTCCATGCCCCACCATGCTCAGGTTGACTTCCATGTAAGAGAGAGAGAAAAAGAGCCATGGGTGGCACAGTGGTTAGACTTCAGTATTGCAGACTAACTGCCCATTGCCAGGCATTTGTGACCAGTTCAAGGTTGACTCAGCCTTCCATCCTTCCAAGGTTGGTAAAATGAGGACCCAGATTGTTGGGGCAATATGTTGACTCTGTAAACCGCTTAGAGTGGTGTAAAGCACTAAGAAGCGGTATATAAGTCTAATCACTATTGCTTTCCATTGTTCTGCAGTTGCTGACTACTAAGGCTACCTTACCTCATCCTTAAACAGGCTCCATTCCTGTCATTTTTAGGACAATTTGGGGCCTTCTGAATGATCATGAGAACAGTGGTGTTCAGAGGGGAAATTTCTTGGCACATTAGAGGACTGGACCTCAAATCTGGTGAAAACTGGAAGGCTCAGAATACTGGTGTTTGCTAGCATTTTCTCCAGTGGGGCAGAAATGGTAGCAGAACAGACAAATCCAACGTCCGTTCTGCTTACGAACTTCATTATCTGCTTCCTCACTGATATTTCTGGAGAGATTAGCAGAGAAGATTGTAAATAGGAAATCAGATCACAGAGTACTTTAGCAACTAGTCATAAATGTGAATAGGTGGCCAAGCATCTGAAATATGTTCATCTGATCAGGAAAGTGAGGCACATTTTACCACAGCCAAAACTGCAATAATTCTGGGATTTTTTTCCCCATGGTTTCATACTTCTTTTGTTAATAGTTCATCTTTCTTAACCACCTATCTTCTTCAGAGGGAGATTTACTTGGCATAAATAGCATTTACCTTATAATCTTTCAACCTAATACTCCCAACTCAAATATAAATCTTTATATTATAAGTACCAAGTCTTAAGATTTGTCTAGATTTTGTAGCAATATTTTTGATATGATAGTATATCAGTTTTAAGCATGCCTGGAAAATTATTTGTATAGAGAAGTCAGCTATTACTAACAAGGATAATATCTTGAATTTGTCTTTCAGAATTTGCTTATGGTGGTCATCCATATCCTTTTTCTGGAATATTTGAAATTTTACCAGGAAATGCATCTGAATTAGGGGAAACATTTAAATTCAAGTAAGCAATTTTCGTTAGTGTGTTCTGAAATTTATTTAAACAGTTATTGACTGCAACTTGTAAATTCGAAACTGTATGATCAAAACGAAAGTAGCTGCCCATCTCCTATTAATAAAATTTTAATCCTTGTTTATAATAGTAATATACACTGCTCAAAAAAATAAAGGGAACACAAAAATAAGACATCCTAGATCTGAATGAATGAAATATTGTTATTAAATACTTTGTTCATTACATAGTTGAATGTGCTGACAACAAAATCACATAAAAATTATCAATGGAAATCAAATTTAGCAACCCAGGGAGGTCTGGATTTGGAGTTACACTCAAAGTTAAAGTGGAAAAAAAACACTACAGGCTGATCCAACTTTAATGTAATGTCCTTAAAACAAGTCAAAATGAGGCTCAGTAGTGTGTGTGTGGCCTCCACGTGCCTGTATGACCTTGCTACAATGCCTGGGCATGCTCTTGATGAGGTGGTGGATGGTCTCCTGAGGGATCTCCTCCCACACCTGGTCTAAAGCATCCCCCAACTCCTGGACAGTCTGTGATGCAACATAGCATTGGTGGATGGAGCAAGACATGATGTCCCAGATGTGCTCAATTGGATTCAGGTCTGGGGAACGGGCGGGCCAGTCCATAGCATCAATGCCTTCGTCTTGCAGGAACTGCTGACACACTCCAGCCACATGAGGTCTAAGAGCATTGTCTTGCATTAGGAGGAACCCAGGGCCAACTGCACCAGCATATGGTCTTACAAGGGGTCTGAGGATCTCATATCGGTACCTAATGGCAGTCAGGCTACTTCTGGCGAGCACATGGAGGGCTGTGCAGCCCCCTAAAGAAATGCCACCCCACACCATTACTGACCCACTGCCAAACCGGTCATGCTGGAGGATGTTGCAGGCAGCAGAACATTCTCCATGGCGTCTCCAGACCCTGTCGTGTGTCACATGTGCTCAGTGTGAACCTGCTTTCATCTGTGAAGAGCACAGGGCACCAATGGTGAATTTGCCAATCTTGGTGTTCTCTGGCAAATGCCAAACGTCCTGCATGGTGTTGGGCTGTAAGCACAACCCCCACCTGTGGACGTTGGGCCGTCATACCACCCTCATGGAGTCTGTTTCTGACTTTGATCAGCCACATGCACATTTGTGGCCCACTGGAGGTCATTTTGCAGGGCTCTGGCAGTGCTCCTCCTGTCCCTCCTTGCACAAAGGTGGAGGTAGCGGTCCTGTTGCTGGGTTGTTGCCCTCCTACGGCCTCCTCCATGTCTCCTGATGTCCTGGCCTGTCTCCTGGTAGCGCCTCCATGCTCTGGACACTACACTGACAGACACAGCAAACCTTCTTGCCACAGCTCGCATTGATGTGCCATCCTGGATGAGCTGCACGACCTGAGCCACTTGTGTGGGTTGTAGACTCTGTCTCATGCTACCACTAGAGTGAAAGCACCACCAGCATTCAAAAGTGACCAAACCATCAGCCAGAAAGCATAGGAACTAAGAAGTGGTCTGTGACCACCACCTGCAGAACCACTCCTTTATTGGGGATGTCTTGCTAACTGCCTATGCTTTCCACCTGTTGTCTATACTATTTGCACAACAGCATGTGAAATTGATTGTCAATCAGTGTTGCTACCTAAGTGGACAGTTTGATTTCACAGAAGTGTGATTGACTTGGAGTTACATTGTGTTGTTTAAGTGTTCCCTTTATTTTTTTGAGCAGTGTATTTGTTGTGCTTTCATATTAAAAAGCTCTTCCCATGATTGTTAGATAAAAAATAAGCCTACACAAGTAAGCTGATGTGCCTATATATAAAAAAGTATAATTCTAAAAAAGCAATATTGTGAAATATTCATTGAACATGAAGTTCAAAGTTAGTATGTTTTAAATGAAGGCTGGTTTCCAGAAGTGTTATCTGTGTTCTCAAAAGAGAATGGAAATGAAAAACTCTTGCCTAAATTGCAAGAATCTTTTAATTTTCAGTCTTTTATTTCAGAGAAGCTGTTGTTCTTGGAAGTACTGACTTCATGGAGGAAGATATAGAAAAAATTATAGAAGAACTTGGAAAAGAATTTAAGGGAAATGCTTATCACTTAATGCACAAAAACTGCAATCACTTTTCTTCAGCTTTATCAGAGGCAAGTTTAATTTGTACAGATGCCATTATTTTAAAAAGTAACCTTTTTATATCTTATAAATAGACTCCTTAAGTTACCTCTGTTTCCAGATTGCACTTGGCAATGACAGAATATTCCATTTGCATTTCTAGAGAGGTCAGTTAAGCAAAGAATTATTTCATGGGATTTGTTCTATTTACTAAAAACAATATATAAGGACAGAATAATAGTGGAAACATCATTAGTGACCTCCTATATGGGGTGGTATTCTACCAGTTCGCACCTATTCGCTAGAACTGGTTACTATTCTAAGCAGTTCAGAGAACCAGTTGTTAGAAGAAATTACTGGCCTAATCCTGTAAGGGAGGCAGGAAGGAAACATTCTGGTGTTGCTTACAGAAGCTGCCTCTCTGTTAACCTTTATTAGATTCTTGGCAGGACTGGATTTTCTGTCTCAGGAACATCTCTGGAGTTTTTTCCCCCTCCTTTGCTGGTACTTTGCTTGTGTGGAGTGACCATTCAAAGTTACAATGGCACTGAAAAAAGTGACATGACCCTTTTTCACACTTGGGACTGTTGTAGCATCCCCACAGTCATGAGAGGCCAGGCGAGGAGATGCGTGCCTTGATGTGAATGATATTGAGTTGGTCACATCCAGCCAATAACATGACCACCAAGCCACGTCTGCCACCTAAGCCATGCCCACAGAACCAGTTGTTAAAAATTTTGAATCTCACCCCTGTTCCTATATAGTGTTTATTTTACTATTTTTATTAGTATTACTGCAACTTTTATTAATGGACCTCCATTTCCCAGATTTGTGGATGCAGACGACCAAATTTCCATATAGGCATCACTTTAAAATAACGGACAAGTCTGGCACATCTAATGTAATTCAGATATTGCTGAAGTGGTATCAATACATTACTATTTGTGGCATTTGGATATCATTATGACATGACCCACATTACCTTCCATACGTATAAGTGATGTTTCATTGTACTTATGTTCTAATTAGTCTTTATTGGAAAAAATAGATGCACAGTATACATGCAAGTTCAGAATTGTCAGTTACTTCTGCCTGAAAATTAGATTTATAACTTATATTATCAGCCTGGCAGGCAATATTAGTAGAAATTTACTTTGTGCTATAACTGTATATTTGAATATTTCAATTGAAAGAGAAATTATTGATTTCAGATAGGAGCCCAGATATACCGTACTTAATGATTAACTTGTTAATTCCATCTAGATTCTCTGTGGAAGAGAGATTCCTCGTTGGGTGAATCGTCTTGCCTATTTCAGTTCCTGTATTCCTTTTCTCCAGAGTTGTCTACCAAAAGAATGGCTTACACCTGCTGCCCTTCAGTCTAGTGTAAGCCAAGAGCTTCAGGAAGTCCTAGAAGAAGCAGAAGATGCTGCAACATCAACTTCTCTGTCAAGTTCAGCATCAGGGGCAAGAACTGGCCATCATACTAAAATATAGGTTTAGTCCAAAGTACTGTAATTTTGGAAGCTTTGTCAATAACTGACTTCCCTTATACAATAGTAAATAGACATTTGATGGTGTCTTTGGTTTGTAATTAGAGAACTAATTCAAACCCATGGTGTTCTGCTCAGGATTTTATATGTAGTGAAAAAAGTGTCTTGATGAAATGGAAAGAACTCGAGAAGAACTCAAATGGAATCTTCATTTTAATCTAATCAAATGACTTGGACTAATTGAGCAGAAGTTAAACTGTTTACAGTATTGTGTGCTGCTGTTACAAATCCCTGAGGGATATCAGCCATTAAAAGAAAATGAATAAATTCAGCATCAGTGGAAGTATAGTAATGGTCAGTGTTCCTTGCTACTGCCTTGGAATAGAATAGGTTAGAGTATGTCTCTTCCAACTCTTATTGGTGTACAAGGAACTAGTGAATACTATGTGTAAACAGGGTACAGAATTATCAATATAAAGAATTTTATCTAAGAAAGAAAGGAAGTAGCCCTACTATTTAGCAGAAATGTTCCTAAAATGTGACTTCTATGTCAATTTTTTTCAATTACAATGAGCAAATTTATATTTTATTACAAATACAAGTGCATTCTTTGGGGTGATAAATTGCAGTCATTTTATTTCAACTGCCTCATGCTTTTATCTGATTTGCAGATATGAAAAATCATTCTGAATTTTTCAGATAATAGTGCCTGTTTCACATATCATTTAAAATCTAAAGTTATAAGATGCAGATAAAACAGATAAATTACAGATTCATATAAACTTGTGGATGAGTTAATTTAGAACATGGTAAACAATAGGTCCTTTGGAAACTAAAAATGTGGATTATTCAGCAGATGTAAAGTGTTGTTAAATAGAATTCCAGTTCAGAAACTCCAAGAGAAGTGACAGTTTTAATTGCCTTTCTCAATTCTCAGATTCAAGCAAACCAAATGCTTTATCCAGCTCACTGTGTTTTTTGCCGAAGCAATGAGTGTTTTAGATGAATAAGTTATAGACATTTTTGTGCCATTAAATAGCAATATATACTGTGTGAACTACAAAAAAATCATTTGCAAAAATATTAGAGGAATATCTTCTATTTAACGTGTTCTATTGCTGACATAATTTCGTTGGGATAGAATTAAAAATAGTACTGGCATCTAATTGAAATTGGGTTCAGATTTTTATATATGTGGTTTTAAAACTCTTCCAAATACTTGGAAGTTGTGTTTAAACCAAGGCTTTCAAGGCTTGCATTAGTGAAGAATACAAATTCTTCCAATAACAACATTTTATGCTCCTTTGTGGATACATTTGCTATTGTAAACAATACTCAGGTATGTAACATCATCCTATTGAAAGTTATATATATATAATGGATATTAAAAAACATTATATATTGTAGCCAGTCCTTTTAATAAGCAAATACATTCTTACTAGTCATTTTTATGATTTAACCAGAGTAACTTATTGGTTAATTTCAAATTTAATGTTTAAATCCCATGTTTTTTAAGCAATCATCTAAATTGGGTTTCTGAGAATACACTATTAAAATCATAAGCATAGAGTGTTTCTCTATAAACTGACAATGAGATAATTTGGTTTTTCAACTGATATGGGAAAGAGTAGTATGGGTCTCCATCTATTAAGGAAGTTGATATGTTAACAAAGAAAACATTCATATACTGATAGATATAAATTTATCCACTCCTTTCAAGGAAGGATGATGCACATATTTTTTGACATTACTTACCAGTGCCATGAAATTTTACCCATGCAGAGTTGATGGAATCTCCATAATAGATTCTATAACATAACTGGCTTTATTATTAATTACAGAATAATTTGACATTTTATGTCTGTATCCACGACAATAGCATGTAAGGAATGCAAGGAAATACATGGCATACTAAGTAAAAGCAATTATTTAATAACATGGTTATATATTCTGATTTTACTGGATTTTTCTATTATACATTTTGTGGCATTTTATAATGACTTTATGTCCACAAACAGCTGAATTCTGAAGCTGCTACAATCTTAGGGAATGATGGCAGTCCTATAACTTATCATGTGTGCTATATCAATTCTACACTTGATTCCTTGAACAAAGCAACCTGCCAAAATCTACTTTCCTAACTAGCAACAGTTGAAGGTATATTTCACCAGCATTACTACTCAGCAGGGAATGCATTTCTCCCAGTAGCCATAGTGTGCATTAAGCTAAAACACTTTCTACCTATAATACTGGATATCTCAACCTTAAAAGAAAAACGGGTAGAAGAAATACATTTTGGGTTCTCTGATCTGCCCAAGTTCTATTTTGTTTCTTATCAAAGAGAATACTGTAGTTGATGTTTTGTCTTATTAAAGCCATTTTTAAGATGCCATTCATATTTAAGAAGTTAAAAATTAATTGCTAACAAATGTCAGACTACACTAGTAAACTGGATGGGTTCATTATAAATGGTGAGGTTCTTGATTACATGCAATACAACTCTGTTAACAACTGATGTTCACTTTTAGGTGGTTTAAGAGAGTTTTCACCAACACATTTTTGTAAACTAAAAATAGGTTTACTGTAATGCATAGTATTTGTATGAAATAGCAGATGTTGACTTTTGTTACATTCTCATGTCTATTATAAACTTGAATCCATTAATTTATTAAAAAGATGTTTTTATAAAAATGTAGTTTGATCTTGTCATTTTAATGTATCTTTTAAATGATTTTTCACTATTGTATTAAATTTATTTTTACATTTTGAAATCAAAATATTGGCATGCCAGAATAAATTTTTTCCCCTAGCAGGAATGCTCTGCCTTGGGAGGGAGGGGTATGGTTTTAATCAGGGCATTATGAATTATACCTTGTACTTTAAATTGTATACTCTCTCCAGAGTCACTGCTGTGAGATGTATGGGTCCATAATCACATGACAGGAAGGCTCTTAAAATCCATTGACACTGGTTATTAACATTTAGTTGTCTAGGTGATGCTATGTAGGTGCCAGCTCTACTAGAAGGCCAGAACAGAAAACTATCTCCAAAGGCTAGAACTATTAATACAATTATTTTATTGAGAGGATATAACAATAGAACCTTGCAAACCCAATTGAACTCTAAGAAATAGAGAAGTACAGCACAGTGAATCAGAAAGGCATTTGTCTGAATTGCTTCTGAATATTATCTAGCTTCCCAGGGCTTAAAAGAATATTTCACCCCCTTTGGTTCTTGCATATTTCCATTACAATTACTTCCCTTTATTTTCAACACATAGGTTTGTGCTCATTGTTAGCCAGTATAAAAGCTATTTCTTCAGGTTGTTTACCATACAAATTATTGGTAGACAAAACCAAGCACAAACGTTAAAGAACAATGAAAACTCTTTTTAAAGAGAAAAGAGGTTTTATGTTTTATGTTTTCTTTGTCTTTAAAATTAATAAAATTTGTTTTTTAAAAAAGAAAACTCTTTTTAAAGAGTAATATAACTAATACTTACCCTCAATCTAGAAGAGATAAAAAACCTAAAGCACAAAAGAATGATTCACACCCACCATACATCATTACCACAAGTTTGGAGATGATCTTAGTGATATGGAGGCTCCCACAGAAAGGCATTATCTCAGCCTAGATTAAGCTCAGCCTATATAGCTTTTTAAAGATAATGGCAGCACTTGGTATTTCATCAAGCAATGAATAGGCACTCACTGTAATACATAATTTAATTTTGTAAATATAAAAAGGATACATATCACTATGCTTTACACTGCAGTATGACTACAGTTTGCTGTAACAGCTACAGTTGAGAGTCTGTATTACTATTTCATTCACCATGCTTTTGTATAGCAACTATTATAACATGTATGACATCAGTGTAGAAAGAGGCATTTCTGAAATCTATGTTCTAAGAACAGATGTAGAATGCAAATTATACGAATTAGCCTACACAGATAGTGGCTAAGAATAGCTTAGGTGATGGATTTGATCTGATTTTACTTGGTACAGTTTTTATAAGTTTGCTGAAGACATGAAAATTTTCATGATTTTATACATCTTGGTATGCTGTCCTTATTCAGTTAAAGAGAAATGCTAAACAAACGATGTCCAGAATAAAGACCTAAGATTATTGAAGTTACGTCTATGAAAGGCCATCAGGTAAGATCCTACCAGCAAATATCCAATTGAATGTGGAATTATTCAAGTATAGTCTTTGATGAATATTCTTATATACACAATCTGTATTTCTGAGCTGACATATGAAGTAACTCAACCAATAGTGATGTCATCTGCTTCCAAAGAAACGGAATACTACTCATTCTTCAAAGAACTTCACTGACGCTGTATTTGTGTATGCTATGTCTTGATCCATGGACCTCTGCCAAATTCATTAACAAACAAGGTTAGTAAGTTTTAACAATGTCTAAATATTAAGGCTTTAACTGATTAAAGTTAATAATATTTTCCTATTCTTAGAAGTTGAAAGCCGTAACTATCAAGAGGCTTTTTGAAGGATGACTGAACTTGTTAATCTACTAGAACTTTCAGAAAAATTACCTCAATTAACAGCAAACATCAAGAAACTGAATGACAGATTCATGGCTTTCCTGAACATGGAAAGAAAAATGCAAAGAACAAAAACAGAAACTACAAAATTAATCAATACTTGCAGCTACTGGAATTTAAAATCATTATTTAGAAGTAAAAAACAGCATGGGAAATATAAGACTCTGAAAAACAAACCTTGCAATAAAGCTAAGAAAGAGAGAAACAAAGGCAAAATTGCATCTTTTTTAGGACTGTTTAAGAAACTCAGCTCCTGGAGGATCAGACATAAGCAAACAATTGATGAAGATCAGGAATTGATTCCACTAGATTTATTTGATATTTCTCACGAGATAATACAGGTTACCTGATATTCTGTTTTCCTTTTTAATTTAATGTGATAAACATTTAAAAAAAATAAAATAACACAATTTGAATGCATATCTTTTAATTTATTCAGTATGTTTATATTATTCAGTACGTTTCCAGCTACTACTTGAACTGATATATCTATGGTATCAGCTATCATATTTAAGTACAGTATTCATTTGATGTCATTCATCTTTGAATACAAAATGTCTATAACAAACAACTAGATACCATTAGGCTCCTATCCTGTTTTGTGTGTGTGTGTATGTCTGTGTGTGCTGCCAAAGATAATGGGGTTTCTATTGTTGAGAAAAGAACCAGATAGTCTAACCTAGTAAAACATTTCAAAGTTGAGTCAGTCATCCACTCCTTTTTGAAATGGCTAAATCTGTAATACGGGTTCTCCATCTATGCTTCACTCCAGTAGTCTCTATCTTGTTTTCCTTCTCCTTTTATATTCCATCTCTTCTCATTCATTAAGCCTATAAGTTCACAGTCAGGGTTTGTGTTCCTTACTTTATAATTACACAGCACCTATTTAAAAACATAAGCTTTTATATAAATAATTATCATGAATTTACTGTGATTACACTGATCCATCAGCACATAAAGATACATTTTAAACAAACAGTCCTTACACATACTGCACAATGTCTAATCTTATTAGCTCTTACATCACAAATTACCTACATCCCATTCATGTAGTCAGTACTATTCCTGAATATTCATGTGTAACTCATGTAGTACTCCCAGCAAGTATTAAGCACTGTGTGTTTTGATTGCATTATGCAAAATATGGTAAAGCAAATACAAGAGCACTGTATCAATATTTTTATGATTATATTAATTGCCTCTCATTAAATCAGAGGCTATTTTATGAAATAATCTTATACATGCTTTCCAAATCTTTTCAGAAGTAAATGCCACCGTGTGGCTTACTCCCTGCTAAAGATATTTAGGATAACAGAGTGTTTACATTGTTAGTGGGGTTATGTCTTTTAAAATGTTTTAACTTTGCTGCATTTTTTATTTCTTTGAATTATCTTAGGAATATATTCTTATTCATTCTTGCAAACCATGCCTATGGTGGTCTGACCCAACCGGGTTCCCAAAGAACAAACACAGACAAAGGCAGCAGCCCCCACCTTTTAAGGTTTAATAACAAATTCTGTTCTGAAGGCTGCTTTCCACTAACTAGCTCCAACAAGAAAGAGCCTTGCCAAGTTGTTTGTCAAGGCTGCCAAAAACCCAGAGATAAGAACTAATTTACAAGATTTTCCAAACACGAACTAAGATGTCCACGAGTTGAGTTTCAGAGCTTCTTTGCTGTCTGCAAAGAATGCTTTTCCAAAGCTGGCTTTTATCCTCTTGAGAGAGGGGCCATTACCTTGCAGCCTTACTCCCGAGTCACCTGTGCTGCTGTAACTGTTCTTTCCTCTGAGCAATCCTTCGTGCATGTGCACTTGGCACAGACTCCTCAGGAACCTCATCACTGCTGCCAGCCCCCACAATCTCTGAAGGCAGCAGTCCACTCCCTGATGGTCCTGGCCCTTCATCAGAGTCCTCGCTCTCCTCAGCCAGCTGCACCTGCTGCTGGCTAACCACAACATATGGGCATTTTATTCTGCAAATAATTATCTGTACATTAATTTGATATATAACTAGTACTAAGTATAACTAAGAGATGGGTGAGATTACAGGGAGTTAAATTTTCCTTAATTTGCTTTTCAAATAATATGAACTTGCTTTATCTACTCTTTCACCTTTCCCATTCTATCCATACAAAGAAAATCTATGTATTTTTAAGCATTAAAAGAGCATATAATACTGCAATCTTGATAACATAAACAAGCAAACTTACTTAAAAGCAAAGACAATGTTATATATAACCACCAGATGGCAGATGGACCTATATCTTATAATCAATTATACACATCCTTTCTACAAATGTCAGAAATTTTAATCAGGCAGTTGTTTATATTAATTTTCTGTAAATTTGTACAAGTTATGTATAAAATGTTATCATTCAGATATCTTCCTATAACATTTTATTATACATATTTTAATTAATTATATCAAATATCACATTACTTTCTGATGCGGCTTTTAGCATCTTATCCTGGTGTTTGGAGGCTGAAAAGTTGAACCCAAGCAAGATGTATTTGCTGTAGGTTCATTGTGTTTGTCTATCAGAACCAGGGTAATCTCTGGATGGGCTTGCACTGCCTCTAAAGAACATGTTTTCAGGGGATCTTTGGCTTATGTTTTATGTTTAATATAGTATACATATTTTAATTCTTCATACCTTGGACTTTACCAAGATTTTGGTGTGCTGCCACTCAGGGATGGATTTTGGCTTTTCTGACAGCCGAAACCCAGTCCAGCCCTGCCTGGCATCGAGGCTAGGCATATCTCATCAGCAGAATGGCAAATGTGAAGTGGGACAGTGAAGTGCAGGGTGGCAGGGGTCTCAAAGTGTGGAACAGTTAAGAGTATTTGTGGCTGGGCCTGGACTGGGACTACTGCAGTTTCCCCAGAGCCTGCTTGCCACCCTGTACGGTAGGATGCAGGGCAACCAAAGGGCAAAGATGGAGATAAAGGTGGGGGAGAGATAAGCAGGTGGGGAGTGTTGGAGTGACCCTGCACATGGAAGTGCAGGTAGGCTGCCAAGACCCAATTTTTGATCATGTGAGCACAGGGATACTGCAATGACCATAAATCCTTTTCAGCAGTGTTG